TTAAGCTGTAAGGCAGGCCAGCCAGCGCACTGTGTTTCTTCCTATCCTGCTTTTTCTTTCCTCAGCACCCCTGGGATCCTCCACCAGCAGGTCTGTCTGTGCTCCTACAGTGCCTTGATGTAATGGGACGCTCGCTCTGTGCTTTTGGACATTACAACAGAGTGGTTGTTAGCAGTAGTTCATAAGGGAGCACTGATTGCAGGCAGCGTGTAGGAGGAAAGGAAAGGTTGCATTTTCTGATAAGTTACCGAATACTTAAAAGACAGTGAATGAGAGGCTGCTGTGCATTGGTTGTGGGGCCTGTCTTGCAATCTGATCCTTGTGGGTGGATCCTTACACGTATGCATGGCCCAGTAAATGTGGGACTGTGATGTTGTACCCATGCAAGTTGGACTGTGGATTTTGCGGTCTGAGAGAGGATGCAAGATGCTGTATGGTAGTTGAGAGTACATGACTTGCAAATCATAGAATCAAGGTTCGTTTCTCCCAAGCATAAGAACCAATACAGTAGAAGTTGCTAGGTGTTGATTTTCTGATCCAGTTTTACCTGTAATTTGTGAAAATAAAATGTTAAAAATAGAACAAAAGTTTGGTTCTGTGATGGAATATGCTAGAGGTGAAAACATGTTTTGAACCTATAAGATTAATCTCCTCCTTTCTCTTCAAAGAGTCTACAACAGACAGTAGAGGATGAGAAGACCTGCTAGATTTTTCACATTTTCAGTTTTCCAAATGCATTTTTATAGTATTTTGAGACAGAGCAAGAAGATCAATATATAGGTAGTAGAGCCATAATTGCATTGTATTCTATTGGATAACTGAAGAAATAATTAAGGCTGAATGCTTCCAAACATGTATGTGTTGGATTTGAAACACTGTTTTTGTTTTTTGTTTATTTTCCTGAGCAGATGTGTATATTTTTCTCATTGAAAGCCATGAAGGATCTAGTTTTATCCATACCTCCACTTAGAGTAATGACTAAGAACTGTGACAACGCCCATGTTTCTGAAACTATTGATGGAAAAAAACCCACAAGTCCTGGCACAGGCACGTTCTGTGTGTTCTATTCTGGTGATGCCCTGGCAGTGCCATTGCAGTTTCTCCATGCTGCCATTATATCCCAGTCCTCAGTATTGTGTAACCTGGTTATGTAAATTCGGTCCAGACTGAAAAATGCCTTTATGACTTTAGCTCTGAAAGATTTTAACCTCAAATTATATGCTCTCATTCAAATCAGCTTATTCTTTAAATTAAATTATGGGATGAAAGCTTCATAGTTGTCATAAAGGCATTTAGTTAAGGTCAAACTGTGTCTGGTACATAGCAAACAAATGAGCTTAAACTGTAGGGAAGTTTTGTAGGCTTTCATTAAAGGCTTTCTCCAAACCATTAATGTAGCCTCAGGGCTGAAGTACCTTGTGTGGTTGCTGCCCCATGTTTAGAAATATAAATACCTTTGACTTGATAGTCTAATATAATTGGGTAAAGACTACTTTAGTGGGAGGGATTCAAATGAGTCATTTCTACTTAAATTGTATCTGCAGCTAAAAATGAAGGGGGGGAAAAAAGGTTAACTTTGTATATACTGTATTTATTTTTATTCCCCTGGAAAGGGAAATGCAAGTAATAACAAATATACATTTATTTTAATTTTGCTCTTCCTGTTCACTGTACATGAAGAAGTTATTGAAGTCTTATGTTATGGGCTGACAGTAGGAAGCCTGCGGGCCTACTAACGGTAGTCACGAGGTTTTCTGCTCTCTTGGATGCTGCTGAGCAGATGCCAGCTAAGCTTGTAGAGAGATGGTCTGAGGCAGTTGAAGTGAAAACTGATCTGATTGCAGCCTCATGGAAAACATTTTCTCTAAGAAAGAGCGTGAACAGAGAAGTGTGGATGAAATGTAACTGAGGTTCTGGAGAGCAACACCTATTTTTTCAAGCGCATATCCTTGGCCTGGCCTCTTAAAAGCCCCCCAGAGAGCCCTAATGCAAGCAGTTGAATAGCCTTTATGCAGTCAGTGCTGCCTTTAGGTTGAAAGTGTATTTTTGTTTGGATTTGAACCTCCATTGGCAGCTTGCCATAGAGAAGGGTGAAGAAAAGGGGCTGTAGCTGAGAAATAATAAACCCCATTCATCCTTGTTGTAAATGGACTGATTTATATCAGTTTATGCTAGGAATGAATCTGACCCAATATCTTACTGTAAATCTTAAGTTTGTGCTCAACAAAATAAGTCAGTACGAGCTATAAATACTTCTTGGTTGCTATACATACTAGAGATTTGGGACAGAGCACATCACACTGCCTTTGCTCAGGCAAGATCTTGTATGGTTTTAGCTTAACGTGATTTTGTTTAAAAACAAGGGTAACTGTAAGTGATTTGTAGAATAAAGAGGGCATTATATGCTACCTTGGAACAGTTTTGCAAAGAAAGAACATATTTGTTTTGCTGACTACATTTTAAATATCCAGAAAAAGGAGATGCTAGGTGATATAATGTATTTGTTAAGTACTAGCCTAAATCATAAGAGCTTAATATGTATGTGCTGGAGTTCTTAATTATGCAACAGGCATGTATTCATGCCACATTTGTCTCAAATCACTCCTCCGTTTTGGTTCAACAAGATGCAATAAGAAGTAGAAATGGGTATTGACATAGCGTGCAAAAGAGAAGAACAGGTAAGTGTTTAGGGTTCTTTATCATCATAGATACTTGAACCAGCCAAGTTTCCTCTGGTATGAAGGGAAGACTTCTGTGTACATTCCATAAACTCCCAGAACTATCACTGAAATGTGAATTTGGCATAATTGCTTTTCTGTGCCAATTCCTCCTATTTAGAAAGGGATGAAGGTAGAATTCCTTCCTGAGTTCTCATTCTCTCCATTTCAGTTCTCCACATCACCAACTCTCCTGAAACCTTCTACAGTGAGGTTATATGGAGTTGGAGATCACCTGAAACCATTGCATAGCCTGCTGTGTGAGGCAAAGTATTTGAGCAGGTAGTTGGTTGATGTCATTTGAATGCAGATTCTTGCAATAACCTTCATGCGTTCCGTGGCCCTATACATGTGTATAGGACACAGTGAGTATGTTTTACTGCTCTTTTTTGAACTTATTTTTTTTCCTTGTGTTTGCCATAACTACTTTGTAAGTAAACCATGTCCTGCCTCGAATCTGTATGAACTATGCTTTCGTTAACTTAAAATTTAAATCTTATGAACCTTTGTGTCAAATACAAAGCTCTTTGGAAAAAAAAAAATCAACTAAATTATTTGTCTTTATTCCAAGCAAGGTTTCAACTTTTTTTGACAAGGTTACTCTATAAGAATTTTGATCATGTAAGACATCCCTCTCTCTTTGTGCCCAAAATATAATTAATTTCCACTGCAGTGCTATGCCGTATATTTGTGTTGAAATTTAAACTAATCCCACAAGGTAGGATGCAGAGCCTTCTCCTTTTGCAAGAAGGTAAATCAGTATCCTAATGAAAGAGGTGTTAAGTTGCTTTGGGATAAAAGATAAGGAGAGTTCCTAGGGTAAAGAAAACTATGCAAAGAAGAGCTTGTTGTATCAGAAATACTCATTTGAAAGTAGCAGTTGTCTCAGGTTTTGTCACTTGCTCGTTGTCTTCTGAAAGCCCAGTGAGAGATAGAGTTAACTTTATTGGGAAAAAATGTTTTTTTATTAAACTCAATTTCTGAGATTTTGTCCAAGAACATCAAGTATTAGCAGTATGCTTAGCCTTAAGTTCTCATAATTGTTTCACAAATTGAATTTTAGAGCTATTTTGAAACATGGAGGGTGTTTGTGGGTGTTTTGTTTGTTTTAGATTTATCCCTATGTGCCTCCTTTTTACAGCACACATGCTTGCTCATTGGGCATTAATTTTGGGCTCGCCCAAATCTATTGGGTGACTTTCATTAACCTGAGTGTTTCTGAAGCACTTGGGTGCTCCTTTTGCCTCCTTGGCTACTATTACTAGGATTTCCTTTGTGTATTTTGTTTTTTGTTGCTGTTGTTTTTTTTTTTTTTCCAGAGGCAGGAACATATTTCAAGTGAAGAAAATGTCTTCACTTTTTGTGTTCTTTGAGTAAGCAGAGAGACGGTCTATTACTGCACTACAACCTGTACTCCAAA